CCCGCGGCCGGGCCTGGCGCCCCTGCTGCTGGCTCTGCACCCGCGCGGCGGCCGCCTCCTTCCCCCGCGCGCGCCCTTCATCCATCCCTCTCTCCTGCAGTGCTTGCGCTCCAGGCCCGAAAGAAAAGGACCAAGGCCAAGAAGGACAAAGCCCAAAGGAAGTGAGTCTTGCACCCCAACGTCGCGTTCTCTGGATTTCCGCGGGCGCCTCCTCCGCTCTGGTTTCGGGTCCGAACGTGCGCCCGGTGTGGGGTCCCCGCCACATGGCCTCGGGGCTGCGCGGCGGGTCGCTGTCCGGGAACCCCGCGGCAGGGAGCTGCTTTCTGTTGCTGATCGCCAGGCCTGGGTCTTACTGGCCGCCCGGGCCTGCAGGAAAGGGCCGCCGGAGGAGGGCCCGAGCCTGCCCGCGCCTCTCCGCCCCGGCCCTGCGAGCGGGAGGCGCGAGCTCCCCGAGTTTGCCCCCGCACCCCCCGAGCTGGTACCTCATCCCCACTCTCTCGGGGAACTCTGATCGCTTGCTGACTTACTTCCCAGCGTCTTAACTCGTGTCCTGCGTGTGCGCGGTAGGCCATCAGGAAATTCCTAGTGAATTTTCCGTGTTTACTTTTGGTTCCGCCGGCCACACGCTCCCTTTCATAGAAAAGGGCACGGAGCTTTGCCCTGGTTAGGCAGCTTCCTGGGCCCACCGGGCGCTGGGGCTTCCTTGCCTTGAGCGTGGTCCGGGTGCGCGTGCTATCGCTTCGCTTCTCTTCCTGGACCTGAAGCCCTCGCGCTGAATGCAGATAATCTCCCGGCGTTATCGCGGCGGAACCGGGAGAGCCCTGCAGCCAGCGCTGTGGGCGATTCTGGTTTGGCGTTTTAAGTGCCACATGCCGAGTTTCACCAGCGGGATGCACCGCATCGCTTTAGCGCTATTGTGGGAAGCACAAAAGTTGGTCACCGCCTGGTAGGAACGCCCGCGGTGGAGGGCTTCAGCAAGTGAGGCTTAGGCTTAAGGACTTTTGTGCCGCGGTTTACTTGCAAAGGCTCTTGGAGATCAGCTTAGACGGCTTGCATTCCGAAAGAAAAAATTCATCTAGTTATTACTTTGACATGCACTGTTTTTTGTACAGTTACCCATTTATGTGATGCTTTGTGGCGTTGTATATCGTCTGATACTGTAACCCATTTTAGAGACCTTAGTAGGTCGCCCTACTGAATTGACAGTAGCAGATAGGGGTGTGTGTGTGTTGTTCTGGGAGGCTACCTAATGTTTGGGGAGAGCAGGTAATGAGTTCTCTTTCCATAGAACCGAAGTGACAGGTGACCTCACCTCTTGCTCCATTTTCTCTTATCTGTCTTATGAAAGTTTTATTTTGTAAGTTCTTGACGTTTATTTCTTCATTACATTTATCCAAAACCAGTTTTTAATTCTAGATTGATTGCTTTAATGGAAACTAGAAGGAACTAACCCAGTTGTAGTATACACTATGAATTTAAATGTTACTTTGTTTCTGTCCCTTAGTTTTGTTACTCTATGTGGAACTGATGTGAATGTGTTAGAAAACATAAATTTTTTTGCCGGGTGTGGTGGCCCACACCTGTAATCCCAGCACTCGGGAGGCTGAGGCAGGAGGATCATAGGGAGTTTGAGTCGAGCCTGGGCTATAAAGTGAGCTGAAGGCCAACCTGAACTGCATAGCGAGACTGTCTCAAAAAGACAAAAAAATTAATTTTTTTACCAATAGAAAGAGATAATTGTATTATTAACTATTTTTTAGAAGTTCTAGTGTCAGGCCATCTGTCATGGTCACTCGTACCACTTGGAATTTAGTCCTGATAGTAGTGTGAGTCAAACTAATTTGGGAGGTAAATATATATATATGTGATCATATATGTTTTTTTTTAACACTAGATATTCATTACTTTGGATTAATTATGCACCACATGCGTCATTTCTAAAGCTAGACGTTGTACTGTTACTCCTTTGTTTTCTTGTATGGGTAACCTCAAATTGTGTTCCTAATTATTTCCATACTTAGCCTTTTGTGGAGGTATAAATTACAAATACTCCTAGCAGTTATTTTACTGAATATTTCATTTTGTACAACTTTGGCTCCTGAACATATATGTAAGTGAATTGCTCACATTTACTTGTAATCTCACAGTCTTTTTTTTTTTCAGGCTTCAATTAATAGGTTATAGTTTTAACCTGTCCTCTCTTGTTTCACCAGCCTTCTTTTAAGTAGCTGAAACATCTGAGTTGGTGAGGTAACTATTCTAGAAGTTCAAGCCCCACATGACTCTTGACTGCCTTCCTGACAGCTTCCAGTTGTTCTGCAGAAGCAAGCTAGTAGTTACCAGGTTAGAAAGGAGGAAGGTCTAAGGAAGAGGCATGCAGTACAGTTTGGTCTTTGGAGTGAGGCTTAGCTCATTTTTTTGTTACTTTGTATCTGATCTTAGACCAGTTAGTTACAGAAACAGTCTGTGTACTTTTAGGAGTGGTAGCTCAGTCATAGTGAAAACTGGTCAGGCCCTAAAAATACCAAGCCCTCAAATGCGGATTTTAGAAACTTTTATGTAACAGTTAATGGCATCCGGGTAATTTAGTCATGGTGTGCTAGCGCCCAGATGTATTTTCTGCCTTGATTTTGTAGAACCCACATAGTGAGCCCAGGGCTGTGGAGCTGACTGCAGTGAAACTGGCTTCTGCTTCCCCCACAGGCCACTTAGGAGTGTTTCCTCTAGGTTCTTGCACTGTCTTATTTCACTTCAAAAATGTTTTATTTACTAACGTTACTGGTTGGTGATAATCTCCGTGTTACTTTACAGATAAGAAAATTGCAGTATTGTCAGATTACTTCTCTAGAAAATTATAAACCTGGGATTTGAGCATAGCCCTGGTTACTGACCATGATGTCTCCAGATGACAGTTCTTTTTGATGTATCTGAGGTTGGATGAGGTCAGGGCTGAGTGAAGACAAGCTTCTGACTGAGGAACTCCTGGTTGCCAGGATAGTCAGGCCCCCTTTCCTGAGCCCCAGCCACCATATCGTGTCTCTGAAAGGACAGGGTGCTTTCTTCCCTTGAGCATTGGGTTTTCAGTGTGTATTCTGAAAGCTGTGTCCTTCATCTGCTTGTCATATGCTTTTATAGTTTAACAGTTGGCTGCTTTTGAAAGTTTCCGTGGAACATAATTTCCAAATGGACTTCATACAGAATTTCTTTTTTTTTTTTTTTTTTCTTAAATTTTTGAGACAGGGTCTTGCTGTGCAGTTCAAGCTGGCCTTGAACTCACTTTGTAGCCCAGGCTGGCCTCGAATGCGCAGCGATCCTCCTGCATCAGCCTCCCAAGTGCTGGGATTATAGGAGTGCACCACCACCCCACGCCTGGTCATAATTTTGTTATTTACTTTAGGAAGTTAGATAATAATCTTCATTGTATTTGCAGTTAAAGAACTTTATGGATTTAGTATAAATTGGTAGTAAATTTATTTAATTGAACAAGGAAGTACAGTACTTTTGCTCATTTTAGCACTCACTCACTGATCCATGGAGTCAGAGAAGATGGGGGTGGATAGTAGCTCTTTCTTAATTTTTGAAAAATGTGAATTGTTACACTGAAAATTTCGGGGGGAGATGCTTAAAAATTTCTAAAACTTTTGTCTAGTAAGACATAGAACCATTCTGTTTGAAATGATTTTCAAGTAAAGTGTATTGGGTTGTTTTTAATACTCAAGGATGCACCTTGGCAGTTCCATTTATTTTGATTTCTCATGAGAAACATGTTTATCTCTATTTTTTTCCTAAAATGATGTCTTGCTGTATTGCTCAGACTGGTCCTGAATCCTGTGATCCTCCTGCCTCATCCTCCCAAGTAGCTGGGACTACAGTCACAAGCCACAGTCCCAACCAAACACGCATACGTTTTAAAGATAAAAATAGAATCATTGGACATTCTTTTGCCCAAATAACATTACTATGAGTATTTTTCGTAACATTAAGTGTTGCGTTATGGGTTGTTCCCAGTTTTTCAGTTAACTCAGAGCTAAGATGAATAATCTTCTGGATAAATTTCTGCTCTTCTCAGTAATTATTTCTTTAGGATAAATTCTTGGAAGTGATACTACTCATGTATGTTTTAAAGATTTTTAATTCATATTCTCAGGTTTTTGGTTTTTTTCATTTTTGTTTTTTTGAGACAAGGTCTTGCTGTGTAATAGGCTGGCCTTGAACTCACAATGTAACCTTGAACTCAGGCAATCCTCCTGCCTCAGCCTCCCGAGTGCTGGGATTACAGGCATGTGCCACCATGCTTGGCTTTCAGGATCTTAACTCATCTATGAAAAAGTTTACCATATCCTAATAACTGTTTTCCATCCTGGAAATACAGCAATAAAGGTTAAAAAGAAAAATCTCTACTCCCTAAGGAGTTTTATTTTAGTAGGAGGGAGACCATAAACATAGGGCGAAGTAATTATACAATATATTATATAATGAGATGGAAAACTAGAGAAAGAGAGGATTGAGAAGTGGGGATAAGGTTGCATTGTAAATGCAATTAATTTTAAATAGGGTGATAGAGGCCACTTAGAGAAGGTAGCATTTGAACAAAGCCTTGAAGGAGAACTGATCTAGGCAGCGCTGGGCATGTTATTGCTTTGCTAAGTAGAAACCAGGTCTTTGCAAATCTGGTGATCTGTAAAATATCTTGTTTTTAATTTCTTTTTGCCCACTTTTTATTTTTTCTTGATCTTAAGGAGCTCTTTATTAGGAATATTCTTTGTCAGGTGGCAAAGAATTGTATTTGCTTTTTGTTTGTTTATTTTGTCTTTTTGGGACAGGGCCTCACTCTGCAGTTCAGGCTGGCCTCCGCCTCACTTATGTAGCCCAGGTTGGCCTCGAACTGGCAGTGATCCTCCTGCCTCAGCCTCCCAAGTGTTGAGATTACTGGTGTGTGCCACTATGCCTGGCTAAGAATTGTATTTGTTATCTTGTTGATGTTTTAGGTTTCACATAGTATATTCTTAAAAATATAGGCGATACAGACTTTGCTTTTGAAATTTATGATGTCACCTGTCTCATCCTTTTAAAAGTACATTAATTGTGAGTGGTTTCTTTAAATGTGTGCTTTAGCAATTTTGTGTTAACAAATTTCATTTACATTAGTGTTTCTACTACA